TAGTGGCTGGTGCATAACTTTGAATAATAGTCATAACTGGTCTTCCTTGTGCGTGGTGGCGGTTACGTGCTATGGAGTTGCTTCTGACCAGTATATGGTTTCTGAGGCTGCAAATCTTTATGGGAGCAGAAAGCCTCCTCCTTCTCCCACGGAAGGCTGATGGTTTTAAACTGCTAACTTTGAGATTAGCAGCCCTACTCATAGCCACTACATTACTAACACTCCTTGGTCTTCCTTGTAGACACATGGATATTATCCTATCACAGACAGCGTTGTACTTTTAGAGCTTAACATGTTCTTTTTTGTTTTTAACTTTTTATTGTGAAATGATTAAAGATTTACAGAACGAATCATCAGTTCCACAGTCAACAAATTGTACACTTTGTGTCATTACTATGATTGAATCCTTCCATGTACCATCAGTTAACAGTATTTTCCACTATTCACTTTAATTCTGGCATTCCTCCTTGTGTCTTCCGCTAACATATTCTTGTTGATGATTAATGCAACACAATTCCTCTTCAGGAAGGAGCTCTGGTAACGTAGTGGTTACAAATTGGGCTGTGAACCTCAAGGGTCAGCAGTTCGAAACTACCAGCTAGCTGTTCTGCAGGAGAAAGATGAGGCGTTCTGCACCCGTAAAGATTTACAGCCTCGGAAATCCTATACAGGGCCACTATGAGTTGGAACCGACTCCACGGCACATAACCACCACCACCACTATTCCTCTTAAGGAGTCCTGGCGTGGCGCTGTGGGTTAATGTGCCAGACTGCAAAGCCATTTGAACTGCAAGATCAGTGGTTCAAGCTTACCAGCTGCTCCTTGGAAACCCTAAAACAGTGTCACTATGGGCCAGAACTGACTTGATGGCACTTAACAACAACAACAACATTCCTCTTCAGTTTGTTGTTCCTGGCATAGTAAACCATGTGGTTGAAAATGGCCAGTACCAGTGTAGTGGACTGATGCGTAGGCTATTGGTCTCTTTGTGTTCCATTTAATTTTTTATGACTTCCAATTTTTCTAGATCCATACTTAGTACATTCCGCATTCTAATTCTCGTGGATATTTACACCTATTTCTTCTCATTTTGAGTTGTGTCCGGTCAACAAGTGAAGTTTCCGAAAGCTTTGCCCCACTATGTCATTCAGGTCAACTCTACTTTGAAAAGGCAACTCTTTCCTAGTTGTACTGAGTGCCTTCCAACCTGAGAGCTTGTCTTCCAGCACTGTATCGGCCAATAGTCTGCTCCTGTTCATAAGGTTTTCAGTGACTAACCCAAGTGATCTCCTGCTACTTCCTCCTACCTCCGTTTAGTTAGAAGCTCTGCTGAAACCTGTCCACCATGAATGTCCCTGCTGGTATTTAAAATACTGGTGGCATAATTGCTCATATGCAAGTTCAGGCTGAAACTGAAGAAAATTAAAAGCAACATACAAGCCACCCTGGTACAAAATGACAGATGAGTGGTAGGCATGAGTATGGATGTTTGTCAAAATGAATTGAACACTTGAAATGAGAAAATTTATTTATAAATTAAATTAGACCTCAACAAAGTTGATTTTTCAAAAAGGTCAACCCTGAATCCCTGAGGCCTGCCTTGGAGGACAGTTCCCAAATCACCTGGCCTTTAAGCCCCTTGGCATCACACATGGTAATGCTGGGAAATATGTAATTAGGATGTATTAAGTATGTATCAAGACAAAAAGAAGGTTCTTTTGGTAAGGAAAAAAGGGCTGAATTAATACTTCCTTATTTGTACTGAATCTCACTCAGCATTTGTGACCATCTGATGCGGCACACCCAGCATTTTTAGCTATATAATGGGATCAATAATGTCCTGTCTTTTCACCTCCCAGGTTTCTTGTAAACATTAAATGCTCTAGTGGTCAAAAAAGGATAAAGCACTTTTCAAATGAGAAGCCTTGTTTCTTAGAGGCTTCTGTTGTATCTGTTGTTGTTAAGTACCATCGAATCCGTTCCAACTCATAGTGACCCTGTATAGGGTTTCCAAGGAGCAGCTGGTGGGTTTGAACCACCAAGCATGTATTTAGCAGTCCAGTGCTTATCCTGCAGCACCATACCAGGATTCCAGCCTGTAGTTAATTTTGCTCCCAGGCAATGTTTGGGAGATGGCTGGGGAGCAGGGGCAGGTTACCCAATAAGTAAGGTAAACACGAGCTTACTTGTGCATACTTACTAATCTGTTGTGCTTGCTTACTAACTTGTGTACTCAGATTAATTAATAAGCACAACAGATTAGTAAGTAAGCATAAGTAGACCCATGCATAGCTTGCTTTCTGGGTACTTACTCTGCCTCTCAGGAACTGTAGATTTTTATTTTGTTTTAACAAACAGAGATTTCTTCTCTCACCGTTTAGGAGGCTAGCAGTCTGACTTCAGAGTGCCGGCTGCGGGGGGTCATTATCCCCTTTTAGCTTCTCCAGGCCCAGCAGTCTTTGAAGACCTTGGTATTCATGTCTCATTGGATGTAGGAGCTTCGCATGCTGGGACCCCTGGTGCATAGGATGCACTCCACTCCTGGCTCTTCTTTCTTTAGTGGTTGTAGTTCCCCTCCGGGAACTGTAAATCTGAAAAGGTTTTGATTCTGTCGGAAGGTGCTGAGTGGGCTGAGAGACAGATGCCAGCCATACCTAGAAGCAGAACCTTTCATGTGTGAAAAAATAAGAAATTGTTCATGACAGATTAGTAAGTAAGCACAAGTAAGCCTGTGCTTTCCTCGTTTACTGGGTAATCTGACACTGGTGGGAAGCAGGGGTGATGAGTGTAAGCTCAGCTTGTTCCAGTCTCCCACTTCTGGTCATCTCCAAATACAGGTCAGTCCTGTTTCTTTCCTCTCTGCTCAGCGAGCATCTTGTGGGCCCTGGCTGTGCTGCGTGGGATACATTTGTAATCAAGACACTTTTCCTACTGGCCGATCCCTGTGCAGTAAATGCCATGCCAGGGGCCCAGGCACAGTGCCAGGGAACACAGAAGTTGGAGTCGTTCATTTCAACTTGGACTTTTTATAAGAGGCATATCACAAACAGGTGGCTTCTAAGCTAGTGGCATTTCAAGGCCTTGTGATGTGCCCAGCACCATCACATAGTTACTGAGCAACTACTTGGTGCCAGGCACTGTGCAAAAGTGACCCAAGCATGAATTTTCATAGAATCTGGTCGTCTTTCTTGTTGGTAGCCTGTGCCAGGAGTGTGGAATCAGGTATGAAGAAGAACCCCTGCCTGCTGTGGAGTTGACCTCGTCGTTTGGGAACAATCAGTGTGAATGGACTGTTCCTGAGTTTGAGGCTATGATTGTGGTAACCCAGGCACTCACTGAGGGAGCCCAGAGGAGCACCTGCTCTGCCCAGTTAGTTACCTAGGTGAAGGAGGGGTGTCCTACCAGAGGAAAAAGCACACGTGCAGAGGCACTGGGGAGGCAAGAGAGCATGTTTGGACTGCTGCTCAACATGACTGGAGAGGAAGAGCCACAGAGAGGAGTTTAGTACACTCTGTAAGGAGGGAAACAAGAAGAGCCTCATGCTAAGTCAGCCCACCAAGGCTTCTGTGCAGGGCCTCCAGAACTAACGCTGTTTGAAACCAGGGCTTTTCTGCTTCCCAGAGTTCCCACTTGAGCACTCCCAGGCAGGCTCCACTAGCTGCCCTTTCACCACTGAGGTCACACAGCCCCTCTCGTTACTTACCGATCTGACATTTTGTTGTGACTGTGCTTCCTGCTCTTGTATTTGATTGATTCCCAAGTTACTGAAGCCAAATTCCGTCCCTCCCCCTCTGTCACTTTTACCCCAGATACCACCCCAACAAAATGGCTCTGAACAAAGACCACCCCTGCTGCTGTCGACATTAAGAAGGGGGTGGGGGTGTTGTCCTTGCAGTCAGTTGCAGAGTAATCCTGTTGTTGCCTTTGTCAGGTCAGGTGTCTTTGATGCAAAATCGTCTCTTGGGGGACTGTGGTGTGAGGATGATGGGCATCAAAAAGCAGCTGTGTCAGTGGAGTGGTCCTGGGTAGCAGATGGGAATTCCGGGAAACCATGCTTCCTTTCTGCGTTATTTTGATCCAGTCCTGTCATTTCTCTCCATCTCCATTTCCTTCACATAGACGTTCTACTGTATCCCCTGGGCTCTGTGCGGATCCAGTGGGATACTCTGAGAAACTTCTTTGGAAATGGTAGAATAGTGTAAGCAGGAGTAGTGGGTTTGTTGTTATTTTTGGGAAGGGATTGGGACCCAGGGCAAGCTAGAATGAGGGTTTCAGATGTATAGGAAAATACTACTCTTGCCCTTCTACCTATGTTTGTATTAGAGGAAATTGAATTAAACAGAACATAGAAGACAACTTTTAAGCGGAAGAGAAGCCTCAAACTGGCAGCCTGTGGCCCATTTCAGAGATGGAAGCAGCACTTCAGCCTTACTGGCTTGGGACCTGGGACCTTAGGGGCTCCAGGGACTTTCAGGCCTCAAGTCTTTCTTAATATCAGTTGGTGCAGACACTTCCTCTGAGTTATTTCCTGGGTGCCCTGGTGTATTAGCAGGGAGCAGAACTAGGATGGTGGCCTCCACTGGCCTTCCTCTAGGTGGTATTACATTGAAAAGCTTTCTAGTCCAGGGTCTAGCTGAGTGTTTACTCACTATTCAGTCCTGAGAGTGCCACCCTAGGTCAGTTCCTGCCTTTGCCAGCCCAGACACTGCCCGGGAGGCTCTGGGAAGGGGGTGTTCCTGGGTCCCCTCAAATGAGACACGTGGGTTCAAACCCACATGTGCCCAGGATGGTGATTTTCCATTCTAGTCCTGCTTCAGCTTCCCAGCTGGGTTTGGACCTTTTTTCTTGGTTTAGGGGGAGTACAGCAGGTGTCCTGGGCCCTCGCCAGCAGCAGCTGATCTACCCGCCCCAGAGAGCTGAACACCATGAGGAAATTTCCACAGCCTTCTCGGCCCCCTCTGTGTTCTCAGGAGTGACTTATCCTCTCTGTTCTCTGTAGGTTTTCTTTTCCTCAGCCTGCAGCGTTGCCATGGATGCCACCCTGAGGCAGAAAGCGAAAAAGTTCCAGGCTCACCTGACCAAGAAGTTCCGATGGGACTTTGATGCGGAGCCTGAGGACTGTGCCCCAGTGGTGGTGGAGCTCCCTGAGGGCATCGAGACTGGCTAGCTCTGGAAACGGAAACGCTCTCAACTGTGGGAGGCCCGTGCCACCTGGCTGCAGTCCTGACCTCTCCACTCACTTCTTCCAATCCTAGGACCTTCTAGGACAGCAGAGATGGAGCCTGAGTTCCCTCCTCCAATCATAAATATGTTTCTTGAGTGCAAAAGAGACTACTGACGCTCGCTTTGGCAGCACAGACTAAAATGGAAATGATACAGAGATTAGCGTGGCCCCTATGCAAGGATGATATGCAAACTTGGGAAGCGTTCTACATTTTTTTCAAAAAGAGACTCTACTCATCCTGAAGGCCCATTCCTGGGTTCCATAGCAGCACATCATTGGTGCTAACCTGCCCGGATTTCACTAGCAGCCATTCCTTCTGAATGAGAAGGAATTGAACCAAAAACCCAAGAGAACTGATTGCTTATTCCATAGGATGATTAGAAAGCAAGAAACCCTGAACTGCCCAGGGGGTTTGAGCTGTTAGTTAATATAGGAGACGGACCAGAATTTTTTGCCTTCCCCTTGTGGAGTGAGGGGATATCACAAAAAACTTGGGCATGTGGCCCCTCAAGAGCCCTTGACTAAGAAGGAAACACACAAGACAGATGGGTTCAGTCTGACAAGTGATCAGCTTTAACTCGCCAATTCCATTTTCTGGTCCAGAGGCCCCAGTGGGTAATCTCCCAAGACTTTTGTGGTTTCTGGCCTCAGTAGCCTTGCTGGTGCCACATACTTCCCATCTGCTCCATTCTGAGGCTTTGAAGTGGGACTTGGCAAACCTCCCGTAGATCCGCATTCCTTACCAGTGCCACCAAGATGGTTTTTATGATCTAGAGCTACAGCAGCAGAAAGAAATGTTCTTGTCTTGAGCAGACAAATGTCCCTGTTAAATTTGTGCCTTTTCTTCAGCACTCTAGAGACGACCTGGTCAGCCTCCATCCTCACAGCTTTGCTGTGGAACCATTGACCATAGCAGTGATCGGTGTTCCCAGCTCTCTGGGAGTCCTAAGGGTGTGCCCATCATGCTGTTTGGGCAGAGGTTGGCTCTCTATACAGGAACACTAACCTGCCACCCTGACTTCAAACTGCTGTACTATTACTGATCTGAGGCCCCATGCTAGCCTTTCCCCAGGCTGGGGCTCACAGCAGATTCTGGAATGAGAATCCCTGCTGGTTAAGACTTTTGGTTCCCCCTGTTTCCTTGGAAATGTGAGGTGTTGTTTTTTTTTCCCCCATGAGCATAATGTACATTAAAGTAACATTTAGACTAAATCTCCTTGTGTGAGTCTCTCTTGCAGTCAATCTGCCCAATTACCTGAGCAGCCAGGCCACTTACAGACTCACATATCCCCATGACTGAGTGCCTAGGAGACCCTGTCCAGACTTTGGCCCTTTGCAGTCCTGAGACAGCCAGCAGCCAGCATTGCCTCACGTTACCCAGGGGCAGCTGAGACCGGGAGCATCCAAAAGAAGGAAAGAGGCTCTGTGTCTTCCTACTAGCTTGTAGCTTCACCTGGTGTGAGTTTGTTACTCTTTCCTCCATAAAGCCCACTGATCAGAACTACGTGGGGAGTTTGTTAAAAAGCACAGATTCCAAAGGAATGAAGACCTGATACACGATACAACATGGATGTATCTTAAAATCATCACTCGAACTGCAAGAAGCCATACACAACAAGCCACCTATTATGTGATTCCATTTCTATGAACTGTCCAGAATAGGCGGCTCCTTAGTGACAGGAAGTAGATTAGTGGTTGCCAGGGGAAAGGGATTGTGGAATGGGGGAGTGACTGCAAATGGAGATTGGGCTTCTTTTGTAATAATGAGTGTTTTGGAATTAGATAATGATGATGGATGTACAACCTTGGCAATTAAAAAAATCACTGTCTGGAGTCATATCTCAATAATAAGAATTTTTTAAAGCATGGATTCCCAAGTCCCACCCTGCAGAGATTTAGAGGTGAATCTAAATGGGGCCTGGATTCTGAAGCACACTGAATTTTGAGAAACGTTACCTAGAAATAACAGTATTGCATTTAGTACAAGGCCCTTCACATTTGTTTTCCCCCAGCATTGTCAGAGCAGCATTGAAGGTAGGTCATTTGACCCTGTTTCTCAGTTTCTCAAGCTTGTCTATCTTCCTGTGTCTACATAGACACTCTCTTCCCAAAATGCACAAAAGCACACTTAAACCAGGGGCTAAGGAAGACACTATTTACAAAGTGCTTTTTTGTTCTGCTATTTTACTTTATTGCAACATTTGCATGCAGTACTATTGTCCCCATTTTACTGATGAGAAAATGGGATCAGAGAGCTTCAATCATTCTGCAAAGGTCACACAGTGGGTTAAATACTGAGTTTGAGGAGTCAAGTGTGTTGGTATCCATGGCCCAGTCTTTGTCATCACATTCCACTACTGTGATTTCCTCCCGCCCTGCTCCTGCCTGTCCCGGGAGGTCGTCTTCACTGCCTTCCTTCCACCCACTTCACTCTGGTCCTGGTGGTGGCAGCCTGCTTGCTGTGTGTCCTTCAGCAAGCTACTTAGGCTCTCTGGGCCTCAATCTCCTTGTGTGTAAAATAGTTGATTTGAATTCAGAGTTTCTGACAGAGATTCTCCAGATTGTTATGTTGTTGTTTGGTGCCAAGTTGATTGTGATCCATAGCCACCCTGTATAGGGTTTCCAAGGAGCAGCTGGTGAGTTGGAACTGCCCACCTTGCTGTAGTTCAAACGGCTTTGCAGTCTGACACATTAACCCACAGCCCCTCACCAGGACTCCAGACTCATTTGGGTACTGGAAAGTGGAAAGTGAACTCTTGTGCTTAAAAACAATTTTTTCCCCTGAAGATAAAATGTACATTTATATAAGATGAGATAGCTGAGCTAACCAAAACAACAACAACAAAAATAGGTCTCTCGTTTGTGGCTAGAGTAACATTCACTTCATGGCTTCTCCCAGTTGTCTCAGCTGATTGTTCTTGATGTCTTCGGTGGTGGTGTACCCTCAAGTCAGTCCCGACTCATATAGACCCTGTATAGGTTTCCAAGACTATAAATCTTCACTGGAGCAGAAAGTTTCATCTTTCTCCCGCAGAGCGTTTGGTAGATTCAAACTGCTGACCTTGTGGTTGTTGTTGTTGTTATGTGCCTTTTGAGTCGGGTCCGACCCTTAGCGACCCTGTACAGGGTTTCCGAGGGTGTAAATCTTTACGGGAGTAGAAAGCCTCATCTTTCTCCCGCGGAGCGGCTGGTAGTTTCGAACCGCTGACCTTAAGGTTCACAGCCCGATTCGTAACCACTACACTACCAGAGCTCCTTTTGACCTTGTGGTTAGTAGCCTATAAATAACTTGTAACCTGCTACCCTACTAGGGCTTCTTCTTTTGTGCTGTAGAAGTCAGTTTGGACTCTCTTAACAACCCTGGGTAGGGTTTCCAAGGAGTGGCTGGTGTGTTTGAACCTCCAACCTTATGGTTAGCAGTTCAGTACTTATCCTACAGCACCACACCAGGACTCCTTAGTGAATAAAAATGTGAAAACACAAAGGATTAGTATGTGTATTTTGGGAAGGGCCTTCCAAAACAGAACCAGTGGCACTGCTGATGTGTAAGCTCCCTTCCCGTTCTAGCACATTTAAAGGCAAAGTTATTGGCAGGACTTGGCCTGGTTATAAAACCCCTCAAATACACACCTCCCAGGGTCTGGCTCTTATTTGCGAGGCTGGCTTATACTATTAACAAAATCAGCAGAGGTAGCGACTTTCCAATCCCTTCTGCTGTCCTGACAAACTCACTGCTCCAGGCCTCCCTCTGTCTTATTTCTCACCACTTAAGCAGTGAAGGAGTTCCCTGCCATAGTTTGCCTCTTCCCACTGGTAATTATTTTCCTATCACACACACCCCCCCCTTTTAAATATTATTTGATATTCTTAGGGCACCGTGACATGGTCTCTCTAGCAAATCAGACTTCAGCTTGACTGGGAAGCCATCCCCTGCTGCAACAGGGGCTGAAAATGCTGAGTGGACACAGTGGGCAGAGTCACCAGTGAGTCAGAGCCGCTAGCTTGAAGACAGAACAGAGTGGTGCTGCTCACCTGAGTTGACTGACAATCCTGTAAACCTGTGTGGCCCTTCAGTTCTACCTTTTTTCACTTCAGCCCCTGCAAACCATGGTGCTTCCTCACCTTAGAGTTCATGGTATCTGACTTGTTTCCTGTTGTCTCTGGAGTGACCACTCCTCCCCCAGGCCCAGGCTTCTGTTCTGGACTAGTCTTCCTGCTGAGCTGAGAACCAGGAATAATGCCAGCTGCTCACTGCTGGGGTGGTACATACTCTTACATCTGGTGTCCAATCTAACTCTGTCTGGCAGCCCTCACACACAACCTATTTTGCCAGTCCACTGTCATGTTCTAGATCTGGTGCTCACTGGATTTCCCTAGAATATGGGGTTCCTGAGGGTTGTTGTGTTATTTGTTAAACTGCCTGGTGGGAGGAAAGTAGTAAAGAGCTTACCATGGAGCCATATGGCCTCTGACAGACCACAACATGTCCCTCTTCCTTGGATCACTGTCTTTTCCTCCCCAAATTTCTCCAGTCTGAACTCTGTATTTCCCAAGGGATTCTTTTTTTTTTTTTAAAGCTTTTATTGTGCATTGAGTGATAGTTTACATGGGAGAATACCATTCAACAGTATTTGCTTCTATTCCCTCTGATTTTTATTAAGGAGGAGGATTATGCAATCTTTTATTTCATTGTTGTTGAAACTGTACACAGCAAACCAAACCAAAAACCCAACGCCATCAAGTTGATTCCAATTCAGAACAATCCTATAAGACAGAGTAGAACTTCCCCAGAGGGTTCCTGAGGCTAGACAGCTTTATGGGTACAGACTGCCTTATTTTTTTTCTCAGGAACACCTGGTAGGTTCAAACTGCTAATCTTGCAGTTAGCAGCCCAGTTCTTAACTCATGGTGCCACTTAGGCTCTTTAGTGTCATTTTTTTTAAGCTTTTATTGCTCATTGAGCGATAGTTTACATGGGAGAACATTAGTTTTGCACTCATCCTATCGTATTTTATATCATTGCAATGATTACAGACCTCTACATGTATCACCATTCAATAGTATTTGCTTCTATTCCCTCTGAATTTTTTTTTTTTTTT